TATAAGAGAAAGCACCACCACCTGTTTATTACCAGTTCAAGTTCAAAAAGAATCTAACACTGATTACACAGAAGGGCCAACAAGGAAAGATGATGCTTAAGAGTGTAAAACTGAAAGTCTATTAGGACTGCTGTTCTACAGCTTATATACAATTAAGATATTATCTGCATGCACTGTGTTAAATTACATATCTCTGGGCAGCAGTTTTCAGCCAACAGCTCCTCAAATACCGTTGTTAAAAAACTATCTTATTCAGCGGCAGACAAAAATAAAACCCATTACACTTGTTACAGAAAACGTCACTTAAAGGCTGCAGATAGGTCATCGCTTCCAGCAGTAGCTACTGCCCAGAGTTACTCACCACCATCCAGCAAAGAGAGACTACCACCCATTCAGACTTGGAACAGAGTGAATCATGTAAGAGCACACTAACTGCCTTTGGGAAAAATTAATCAAAGTAACTGACCACTGAAGGCAGGTTGAGCTAATACTGTCCATTTAACTGCTGATTATGCCTAAAGCACATAACACTGCATACAGCTTCTCTTGAAAGGGTCATTTAGCATGGTAACTACGGCAGAGAAGCACAGACAAATGGCTGAAGGACACAGTATCTACAATTTTCACAGATATTTGGGGGGGGAAGATAAAAATCAATGCCTATCCATATCTTGAAACACTAAGTACAACTTCAGTGATAGGCTGAAAAACCTATCACTGAAGATTTTGAAAACCACTAACCATTACAGTTACTTAAGAATTCACAGACTGCCTCTCCAGAAACTGCCTGAAGTTATAATGTATGTCTTAGGGAAGCCTCACAATTTTTGTAGGTTTGTTCAGTTTGTTTATCTACTCACTACTCCAAAATATCTTGCAGTTTTCTTAGTGGACACTCTGATCACTATCTTTTCTTATTTAAGTCTTTAAAACTTAAGAACTCAATATACACGCTGAACAAATTTCTTGCAGTAATTTGATGGATGAACAGCAGTTATAAACAGGAGCATATTTTCCCATTAAGTACCTCTAAATGAAACAATAGGTACCAAATTGAAATATTTTAAAAAATATTTTAAAAATACAAAAGGCCAGACTCTTCCCTCAAAATCCCTTCAAAGTACATACTGAAATTAGACTGTGGTTTAAGGGGTCTTAGATGTAAAATATGCCCATGAACCATAACCAAACAATGTCTTCAAACTCTCAATGCAGTACCAGCTTAACCTTACAGAATTAGGCCAGTATCAAATATACTTTAAACTGGCATAATGTGTCACTGTCACCAAAAGAAACAGACACACCCTGCTCCCCTTACTGCTTGCTTCCACCCCCATCTTTGAGCCAGCACAAATGTTTGTGCAGCAAACTGATCCAGCTCAAACCAAACCCTCCCCTCCCTGCCCCTGCCCCTCCCCCAGGTTAGTTCAATCCTCAGCCCAGCTCACCGCATAACCATACAAGTATTTGCCTGCACAAAGGAGGAAGCAGCAGAGTGGGGTGGAAGCAAACAGGACCATGTTTTTCAATGGTGGAGCTGATCTACACCAGCTGTACACTGATGCAAAGCAGGAGCAGGTCGCAGGCTGGAGTCCTGCACCATCGTCCTGACAGATGCAGGTCTATGAAGTGCCACTGTTCCCTTCCTCTCTGGGATCCCACCTCTTCACTCACATAGCCACTGACAGGTATGCAACTGCAGGTTGAGTCGGTTCAGGGTGCTGAGTCAACTAAAAACTAATTCTACCATGAAAAAAAAAAAAGTTGCTCATTTTCCAGCAGTTCAGCTTCCTGAACCAGCTCCCAGTGCAATCCTTACTGGCACAAGGAAGGAGAAGAAGGAAAGAGGCTGGGAATGCAGGAGGTACAATTTTGATCAGTTTGTGATGCTGTGGAAAGGCACTCATACACTGCCACATTTTAAATCTAAATGTGCCTGCACATCTGAACATGATTATTTTAATCAATTCGTTCCTAAGATTATTCCAATTTTTTCAGAAACCTAGGCGGCCACAGTCCACTTGGACACAAGCTGCAGGAAGAGAGGCCAGTTCACTACATTAACTAATTTCACCCTTCATGTTTAATAAAACAAAGACAGAACATTACTTATTCTAACTTAATGATAGTTTGACCAGATATTCTTTTAAATATCACTGATTAAATCACCTCAGATATTTGCACAGGAACAACACATACGAAATAAAACCACTGCAGCCATGCTAAATATAAACTTAACAATATTTTAGTATTTACAAGGAATTTAAACAATAGTTCTGGTGATTAAAGTGATCTTACAAACTGTTCTACTCAGGAGTGAATTCCATCCATGAGTCAAGAAATTGTTTTGCTTAAACTACAAGTCCCAGTGGTCACAGAAGTGAACAAAATTAATTTCAATGCATTCAGAATCAGACACCTAACAAATACGGATGTAGCTACTTTCAAGCTAACTTTTTAACAGTGAATTATCATAAGTAGGAGTACAGACTGTTAGCAATAATCTTGCTAACTTCCTAATAATAGAATTTACTACTGGATCATTAGATTTAGCAGAGAACTGCTTCCATAGGAAGTAAATGTATCTGTTTATGTTCATCCAGTTGACAAAGAAAAGAAACAATTATATCAATTCAAAAGATAAGACATATCAACATTACAGTTCAAGAACTGAAGTGCAGAATCAGATGCATGTATCTGCAAACCAGTCTTCCCAAGTACCATGTCTTATATTTTTCCAGTTTATGAAACATTTTTTTTTTTCTCACAAAGCTAGATTCTTCCACAAACTACCACTTGCCCATTGCAGCAATTTAAGACAATTGGTCTTCTCTTCAACAGAAATTTCTTGTAGGATGAAAAAGTGTTCCAAAGCACTCTGCCTGTAAAAATTACACAGAAGTGAGAACCATTTATCTTGACTACAATTCACCACCAACATTTGACACAACACACTGAACTGGAAATCGAGTAGAACCCTGGAAACCCCTTTAACCAGATATTCATACAACTGCTGGTGTATTGTTTCAACAAACATTTCCAAAGCATTCTTGACATAGAAGTAAATAGGGAATCTCAGTCAAGAAATAAAATTCTTAATTTCTTTCCCTTTGGAATGGAGTTAGCAGTTTTTGGGCCTGACCTGGTGATTTATACTGCTACAAGTTTCTTTTCAAGCAGGCATAGATGGGTGTGCTGTTCAAATGCACTTGCTAACCAAGGAAAACAGACAATGAATTTCCCTGGCAGTTCTGCTGACTTTAACAAGATAACAGAATGCTTATTGGATCTGAACCCGTATATCTTAACACCAAGCCATTTTTAACAGAGCAATAAATGCTAAAAAAGTAGTTTTTCATTACCCTAAATATAAATATATTGCAGAACTAGCAAAACAGATTTAATGACAGATTCATGATACGCAGTTACTGCTAATATTACCACCAATTAAAGGAAAGATAAAAAATACTTATTCAGAGAACTTTTTTGCTCATTACTCTAAATCTTGCTTTGTCACTAGGGCTTTAAGTAAAAAAAAAAAATAAAGGACTATTCAAAAAAGTCACAAACTAAACACTTGTTAAAAGTATTATTAATATCAAAACACAGTTGGCAAGATTTTAAAATCAACCCTGATTTCTACAGTGTTATTCATTGTAATAATAGTATTAATTTCAACTCACAGTCCAACAACACTCCTAGTGATTTCTAATGATGATTATCACATCTTATGCATTAACTTTGAACAAGATGCAGTGACCAGGAAGATAAGAACACATGCTTTCGTTAAAGAAAAAAATAAGTTTAGATGGAGAATCGAGTCAAACAAGTACTGAGACACCTCTGCGACTCTTCAGATCTATCCTTGGTGCATTCACGTCTAGGGATATGTCAGGAAGGGAAGTTTAAAATGACGAGGCAGTGAGCTCGGTATAACTTTCATTCATACACACAGCACCACTTTGAAGAGCCTGGAGGACCCCCTTCCCCTGGCAGACTGTCTGCTGGTCCCAACCCACTGACCCGCCAGAGCTCTCAATTAGTCTCAAGGCTTGCACCTCTAAAGCCCCCGGGCTTGCTCGGCGATTTGGAACAGCAAACGCCGTTGTCTCGGGAGGCATGTGACAGACGCAGCTGACCTGGGGGAAGGTGCGAGCGCTTGACAGGTCACCCGGGATGAGACACGACCGTCAGACACGCCGAGGAGGCGGCAGGTCAGGCAGCCGGGACCGCTCCCCGCGCCAGACCTGCCTCCGGCACAGCCACCGCCGGGACAACTTTATCGCCTCCTCTTTTGTTTTTAAACTCACACTCCGCTCGTCCACCGCCGCTCCCGCCCCAGCACCAGCCTCAGAACAAGGCGACGATCCCCCCTCCGCCCCCCGGCCTTCCCCGCCCACAAACAACCCCCGGCCGCAGCCCCCCGTGCCCGTGGGGGCCCCGCCCCCACGCACCTCCCGCACCCGGACCCACGGGGCAGGAGAAGCAGGTCCTACCGCCGGGCACATCCCAGCCCTGGGTCCCACGGGAGGAGGCGAGGCAAGGGGCTGCTCCTGGGCCCGGGAGGCTCCGCTGCCGCCCCCTCCCAGAGGAGCCGGCCGGGCACCCCGCGGGAAGGAGCCGGGAGAGGGGGCAAGGACCAGCACCCACCTTGGCCATGAGCCCCGCGCTGGCCGCCGGGCCGGGCCGCCTGTGACGGGCGAGACGGCGGCCCCGCGTCGGGCTGGGGCACGGCTGCGCCTCCGAGCGCGGCAGCGACAGGGCCGCGCTCTGGGCCGGACCCTGCCCGGCTCCGCTTCCGGAGCGCGGCGCGATCGCCTTCCGGGGCAGCGCCCGCGGAGCCGCGGGGCGGGCGGGGCGGCGGCACTGGCGTCGGGGCTGCGCCGGGAGCGGCGCCGGTGCCGCGGGGAGGGAAGCGGCTACAGAGCGAGTCTTGCTGCTTCCTCAGGTTAAAAGAAAATAAAGAATTAAAGCTGCAATTCCGCGCACAGCTCTGGGAAGCGTTGGCTCGGATTGGCTTGGTTCCATGTAAGTTTTGTTGTGCTCGGTGTCACCTCTGTTATTGCACACACTGCCACGGTAGCTCCTCACCTACAGCCGTCGGAGCTGCGCTGTGTTCGTGAGGTTGCACTGCGTGCGACGGAAAGCAGAGGTGGGCACGGGGCACGTTAGAAACAAAGATACAGCAGAATCAATGTGGGAAACAAGAAGAACGGGAGGAGATGCCACACCTGCGTGTTGTGCAGGTTTGTGGAAATGCTTAACTGCCGTTAGCCAGTGCAAAACCCTCCGCACACGTTTGTTCACTTACCTGCACATCACCGTGTCTGTTCCCTGTTTACAGCCCAAAACGTTGTGATCTACAGTTAATCTTGAATATGTAGTTTTTGTCTCGACACACAAACACATTGCTCACAGTTAGAGCAGCCGGCAGCCTGCACAAAACTCTCAGCTTTGTCTCATATTATGTTACGTATGTTTTCCTCTTATTATTCAGCTTTCTGGCCTTGATCTAACTTCTGACCTTTTTGTCAAACAATGCCTTGCACTGAATTGCTTCACAGAACAGGTCTGTCTGTGTATCTGACTTTCTCAGGGGTTGTGCAACTCCTATTTTGACTGTGTTTCAGTTATCTCATGACAGGGAGAATGGAGAATCTTACCCTCAGAGTTGCTCACTTTCTTCCCTTCCCTGGACAGTTACTGCTTTGTAGCGGAAGTGTCAGAAGCAAACAGATAACAGTACTTCACTACCCCATCATACATTTAATCTATAGATTTTGTGAGAGCTGGAAAAACTGAAGTCCGTGCGGAGATTTTCTTCAGGTGTACATGCTAGAAAGGTGATAATATCTAGAAGGAAGAGGGGGCTGAGGTCACTTGTTCTTTTCGGCCTGGAGATTGGGAGACTGAGGGGAGACCTCATTGCAGTCTACAACTTCCTCCTGAGGGGAAGAGGAGGGGCAGGCACTGATCTCTTCTCTGTGGTGACCAGTGACAGGACCTGAGGGAATGGCCTGAAGTCGTGTCAGGGAGATTTAGGTTGGATATTAGAAAAAGGTTCTTCACCCAGAGGGTGGTTGAGCACTGGAACAGGCTCCCCAGGGAAGTGGTCACAGCACCAAGCCTGACAGTCAAGAACCATTTGGACAATGCTCTCAGGCACATGGTGTGATTCTTGGGGATGGTCCTGTGCAGGGCCAGGAGTTGGACGTGATGATTCTTTTGGATCCCTTCCAACTCGGCATATTCTGTGATTCTGTGAGAGAGTGCACAACTGTGGTTTGGCATTTGTACCATTGCAGCTGTTGGCTTCTGTGCATGTGAGTCAGCACTCAGAGAGCTGGATGGATAAAGCAGAGCAAATGGGATTTTCCTGCAGCTGAGTCATGTAATAGGTGAAGTTGTGTAGCAAACTCTGTCATCTAACATACCATATGTGCTCATATGCCATAAACGTAATACACCAATGGGCTACAAAACATTAAGCTGCTCTTAAGAAAAACATCTGCAGGATTCCTTTTGACCTTCAGGTCACAGGGCTGGCCTTAAAGTGTGTTCAGATTCAGTTGTTGATCCCAATCTGCGAGTCCACATTCAACTAAGTACGGTACCTTGCAATTTTTCTATAGTTGTTTCAGCAGTGTCTGGATGAGCAAGGAACAAAGTTTTGACATGTCTCTTCTTCTGGGTCATTTATTTTTCTCCCCCTTGAGCTTTCACCATGCCTTCACCAGTTCATGTGAATGGCTGCACTTAAATTTTGTGTTAAATTTGGACAGCAGAACATCTCTGACAGTCAAGTTCAATGTCTTCATCAAAGGAGAGGTGCTGGTTTTGTTCATGTGTGAAATTAATCATCCTTACTGTTTACCTGAGTGTTACCTTATCCACCTTACTCAGATTTACTGACAGACAATTCAGTATTTAGATACTGGAACTCTGCTGCGTTTTGTGGCTGTTATGTATCTTTCTCCAGGTGATTTTCTGGCTTCTTAAGACCTTGCTGTGTTGCATTCCTGCTGAGAATTTCTAACTGTCACATTGTTGTTCCTTTTCTTTCTCACTTCGTAGATGTTTTGGATCTGTGACATACCAGTTGCTGCTCGTAACTACAATCATTTTTGTCATCCCAAACTGAGACTATCACAGCTGTCTTCAGATCCCACATAAATTACTAGTCTTAAAGATTACATGGCTGCTTACAGACTTCTGCAAATTATGAACTTACATCTCTTGAAGTCCTTTGGTGGCACCTTTTAGATCTTGCTAAATTTTCTTTACATCCACTTTGAAGTCAAAGGCTTCCTCTGTTGTTTCACTATGGCTCACATTCTCTCTTTTTAGAAATTAGATGCTGCTGCTGCTTTTAAAGCTTTTCCATAAATGGTTAGCCCATAGCTAAAATTTGTAAAATTATTATTTTAGTAACTAAACCTTTCACTTTGTTTGCTTGAGCATTTTTTATATGGTCTTTTACAGTGACTACTAGGTATGCTAAATGCATGGCTTTTTGAGGCAACAGAAGTAATCATGCATTTCATCGTTCTCTTGATTCATAACTGATTTACCAAGCTGAATGGTCATTTTAAAGGTCTTAAATTTTACTACTCTTTAGAATTTTCTCCTTTATTAATAATTAAACTTTCACCCCAATGAAAATTTTCAGAGTTTAACACCTCCTTTTTATTTAAAAATTAGGTCATATAAATATTTTGGAAAGATTCTTAGTCTTTGAAGATGAAGTAAAATTCAACTGCATTAGATATATTGTAGCTTCTGTTTCCAGAAATGCTCATTGCACTGTCATAATGTATTTCCGTGTTGGTTCATTGACCACTATTGTTCCAGTTTCTGGATTCTTACAAGATGATACCAACATGTTGTGGTGGGTTCTATCATGAAATTTGAAGTCTGCAGGTGAAGTGCTTTTGCCTATGACCTATGTTGATTTAGGCAGTATTCAGCTGTGCAAGCAAGAGTGCAATCCGGTCACATACAACATTTTAACAGCAGATTTTTTCCCCTGTACTCGGCACTGGTGAGGGCACACCTCGAGTCCTATGTCCAGTTTTGGGCCCCTCACTACAAGAAAGACATTGAGGTGCTGAAACGTGTCCAGAGAAGGGCAATGAAGGGTCTGGAGCACAAGCCCTACAAGGAACAGCTGAGAGAGATGGGGTTGTTTAAACTGGAGAAAAGGAGGCTCAGGGGTGACCTTATCACTCTTTGCAACTACCTGAGAGAAGGTTGTAGCCAGGTGGCGGTTGGTTCTTCTCCCAGGCAACCAGTAACAGGACAAGAGGAAATGGCCTCAAGGTGCACCAGGAAAGGTTCGAATTGGACATCAGGAGGAAGTTCTTCATGGAAGGGAGTGTCAATCCAATCATGTTATATTCTGTGTCCCCTCCTGTGGCATAAGTAGAATAACACTTTGTATATCAGATCAAGAAATTTTTGTTTTCACAACCAAACAAACCTCTTGCATACAGTAAGGGCCATACAGCAGCTACTTATAGCCTGATCCTGCACTTTAGAAAGCACACCTCCCCAGCACAGTTAATAGTATTTTTTTCAGAAGAAGTGCAAGACTAAGCTAATCATTATAACCAGTTCACTGCTTCATTGAATATTGTCATCGTTAGTTGTGATTTCAGTTAAAAGTGGGAAAAAAGTTCAATAGTAAATAAATGTGTTTTGCAGCTGGACATTTTAATTCACATAGTTATTTTTTTCCTGAAATGATTGCTGGAATATGACAGACTTTCTGCTCTTATTCCTGTGGTAGCCAGAAAAACGTCAAGCAGACCTGGTCATTCAGGAATTCTTCAGATGGCTATTTGTATTGTAATCTGTTTTTCTTCAGTTGTATAAATTGTCTTCCTTATACAAATGCACCACTGATATTGTTAAAGCATCTGCGAGCTTCAAGTAATATTCTATGGAAGACAGGGTACTTCTTGTGACAGTCAGTTGGTATGGCCAGTCTTCGCGAGCGAAGATTTGGGAAAGGTCATTCCCCTTCGAGCCTGCGCAATGGATTTTTTTTAGGTGAGACCCAGTGTGCGCTGAACTGAGCCCACCCTTTAATCCTAAGGTTCATCTGCTGGGGCCGAACAAGCAAGATAAAGCTACAGGATTCAAAGTACAAAAAAAATATGACACTAAAGAGGCAAGTTGCTATGCCTGACATATGTCATCAAAAGTAGAAGAGAAACTTTAAGTTCTGATATCCTTTGAGAACAATTTTTGAAATGCTACTGAAATCTTGCATAACTATTTTCTTGCAGCAACTACAAGTGAAGATTATGGGGTTTAGTGGTTTTGTTTTTCTAATTACTCTTCCTGCAAAATCATCCAGAGTCACTCGTCCAGTGTTGCCAGCTGTTTCAGAGAAAGGTTTGAAAAACTTTGCAGGGGACAACCATGAAATAATTTGCTCACTGGATAAATGTCTTCATAACTTTTCATAACCAGGAGTTGGCTTATCCTCTTGAACTTGTGGTTTTAGATCCTTTTCAAACTCCTGGATGACTGTGTGTGCATGGATTTTTATTTTTTTTTTTTTATTACTGGGTTTGAGACTGTGTTTTCCATTTTCCACAGAAGTGTCCAGTCAGTTGGTAGACTTTTAAAGATAATACAATGATCTTAAACTTAGATATTTTTTCTGACCTCATTTTAGACTGAGCTTGCTATCTGAGATACTATGTAATTTACTCTTTGAGATGTTAGATATTTGGTGCTTAACCATTTGAATATTCAAAGCCTGAAAAACATCATTGCAAGTGAAGCTGCTTTTTGGGCCTCACAAACATATACTCATTCAGTTCTTCTCACAAATGAATGTTCTACGTAACCAAATTGAGCTGGTTTCATTTTCCTAACAAAGGCTGTTGCATGCAATTCCTGTAAGTTCTCAGTGATTGTTTCCCTGGAGGAGCATCTATGTGTTGACTGTAGAATGTACACACGTCTGTTTCCAACTAGCCTGTAATAACTAAGTGGGTCGTAAATCTAATTAAATG